AAAAAAAAAAAAAAAAAAAAAAAAAAAAAAAAAAAAAAAAAAAAAAAAAAAAAAAAAAAAAAAAAACTCCATCAATTCCAAGGATCTGTAAGTAGATTAGAATACGATTAGAATTACCCGAACAAGATAATTGAGATAAGCATTTTCCGTGGAGTTGGATGGATATCCTAAAAAGAATTGATAGTTCATTGGTCCTCATAGCAATACAGTTAATAGCATCATATGTCCAGAGGCCTAATTTATTCGGTTTATGAATAACTTGGCAATTCAAAGTATATCTTAGCACTCCATTTAAAGGCTCAAATTTCAATTGTTTAGGCTCTAACCATATCATTTATCCATCTCTTAGCTAATCCTATTCCTGACAAATAAAACTTTCAAATATCTCTCCAAACATCAAGTTTGACTTCAATCATGTGGTATATGCTCGCGAATCTTAAAGGAACATTAAAGCTTACTCATCCAAATTCCTAGTGTACACCTGAAACATCTATACACATATCTTCCATTTCTTAACAAAATACAGCCAGGAAGTTTCTCAAAATCAATTCCTACAAAAATTCAAGGCAATCAGACATACAAATACACACTCCACCACCAAATTTTTCGTCGAACAGCAAAAAATACAGTTAAACGACCACAGTACCGCAGTTCTTTCTTGAAAAAAGGACATCAGATGCCATAAGCAATAAATTCAAGCAAAATACAGCGAGAAACCAGCAGGAAATGGATAGATTCAAAAGGAAACCAAAAAATAACGCAATGTGAAATAAACGAGAGAGAGAGAGACGAAATAAACACCGTCACACCTTTAGTGGAGCCGGTAATCAAAACGTTGTAGGGAGGAACCATCGGCTCCGTCTGCTGCAATCCTTCGGCCTTTATGGATACGGAATTCCACTTCACGACGCCATTCGTCGGAATGTTGGACACCTCGCGCGAACAACCTATGGAACGACTGAAACTCTCCGATTTGCAGAGCGATAGGCGGCGTATGCCGGAAGGAGGAGAGAAGAAGAAGCCATGGTGGTTATGAGAGATGAACGTGGCCGGGAAGAAGAGAGAAGAAGAAGAAAATGAAGCCATTTCGCGCGGTAGAAATTTCCAGAGCTCATTCGTTGGTTACTTAATGGATAAAATTTGTTCTTCGTCTTTCTTCAAGCAACGTCTTAGTGGTAATCATCATTGTTACGTTTTACAAAAGGAATTAATTTATAACTAAATTTTATAATTAAATTAAGCTTAAAAAATCATTTTTAATCTCTTTTAATTTCATCAAATTAACCTCCTCCATCAATTTGACTGCTAATTTTAACCCCATCAAATTGTAAATATCTATTAAAAAAATTATTTAATTAAATTGAAGCTCGGTAAAAATGTAAATTTGGTTAATGCACAAAATCAATCATTAAATAACTCTAAATTAATATATATATATATATATTTTTTTTAATAACTTTTTACTCTCTCTGGTTGTTTTTTTTAATAAGTGATTAATAACTATTTTTATTAAACTATACCTTATATTTTTATCGCATATTATAAGATCCTACATCTATTGGAGAGGAGAACAAAACAATTTACAAGTGTTCGAAATTCTCTCCCTAATAGACACATGAGGCTGACGACGATGGACTAAAACAAATAATATCTGCTAGCGGTGGGTTGGGGTGTTGCAAATAGTATCAAAGTCAGACATTGAACGGTGTGCTGGTAAGGACGCTGACCCTAGGGAGAGTGGATCGTGAGTAAGGACTATAAACCTCTCTCTTGCGCGTTTTAAAAACTTAAGAGGAACCTCATTTCTTATATGGGTCTGGTTTGAGAAACTCATTACTTACATGGATCTAGAAGTCTATTTCTAGTAGAAGCATTTTAAAATATTGACAGAAAAGGTAAAAGTAAAATCAATAGGAGGGCAATATGGGCAATAGTGTTGTACACGTACAATATAATTATAATATCAATTAGTTTTTTTTTTATTTTTTTATTAGAAGACCTTGTTAAATGAACAATGGTATGATATTGTTCACTTTGAGTAACCTCCCTTCGAACAAAGTACGCGTTCACCTAATCGAGGCTCGACTCCCTTTTCTTTTGTAGTCATGACATTTGAGAATTCTATTAATATGACTAAGTTTAGAGCATAACTCTGATACCATGTCTGTCGCACGAACACAACTTTGTATTATATTGTCCAAGAGACCTCAAGTGAAACTCCAATTACTTCACCGGTTAAAACAGCAGCCCCAGTCATCACCACCGGCCAGTTTTCTTCCTTCATCGCCGCCGCCATCATCGCCCCGCCGATCTTCTTCACTTACGCCACCAGTCCTAACGTTTCGGCCCCTTCGACGCTAGGTTTTTCCTCCTCACTGTCTTCTTTAGCCCCCGACGATTCACCGACGAATATCGCAACTTCTTGCCACGATGTTATCTCTTTCCTCTGAGATTTGAAGTCTGATTTCTTCGTCGTTTCCGATAAGACGACGGCGGCGCAGGAACCCTAGCAGGTAATTTCTCGCAATAATTTCCTCCTTCCTTCTCTCCGTTCGTCGATTTCTGATCGTAAGGCGGCGGTGCCTGAACCCTACCAAGAAATTTTTCGCGATCTTCCCCTACCTTCGATCGGATGCGAAGAACGTTTTTTCGAAATAGGCCATAGATTCCGGTGACTAAGCGGCCGGCCGGAACGGTAAATTGACGAACGTATTCTGTTCGATAGACCTTTATCAGATCCTTGGGCAGTCTTCGTAGAAATCGTAAAATTTCACAATTAACAATAAAAAAAATTAAATTAAAAATTAAAAAAAGGTTTCAATAATTTCCAAAATTTTAATTTTAATTTTAAAAAATATAATTAAATATTCGAAACCTAATTTACCTTGACGTGTAACGGTTCATTATATAAATAAATAATATCAATTATTTTTGTTAATACTTATAAATAATTTTACTCAATTTTTCTTTTTGAAAAAATAACTAAAATTTAAAATTTAAGGATATTTTTGTATAATTTGATGTAATATTCGTTATACATTTTCAACTTTTATGTTTAATAAACTTTGAAATTTTCATATAAATCATTCCATTTTTAATATGACTATCAAAGACAAAAGATCCCATCATCAATTTTTTAAAATAATAATTTACACATTATTTTCAACGGCTAGATTCGAATCGATAACTATATATTATCTTTAAAATTTAAAATAAAATGAAATAAAGTATATTGAAAATATAAAAATATAAAAAATGTAGAAATTCGATGTACGTCTCATATTCATTACGATCGGGATGGAATCTTATGTCATCTTACTTTTGAAGTCGTTCCAAACCAACACATTGTTTTTGTAATTTATTTATTTATTTTGTCTATGCTTTTCATTTTATAGCTCATTTTCTCGTGGGCAACTCGATTCCTTTCTCCATTATTTGGGTGGGAGTTCTTTACCTTTACATGAGGAATATTTATAATTTATGTTGGATTTACTTTAGAGGGAAGATAATCATTTTTTTTTATTTGTTCATCCCGATCCTTTATTAGGTAGTAACTTTCATTTAAGGACGTCCATTTTTGTGGGGACAGAGATAACGATTCTTTGTTAGTGTAGAGAACGGAGTCGAGAGCCAGAAAAAAAGTCTCGAGTTGAACAGGGGTTAGGATGAGGAATTAGGAGTGTTCATATGACCCGATAACCTGACAAACCTGAATTACCTAACTCAAATCATAAACGTTGTGTTGGGTTAGATTTTTTTTTTTTCCCGATTTGGGTTTGATTAAATTTTTTGAAAAGTGAAAATTCGAGTAGATTTGCGAATTGATATTTTTTTTATTGGGTCAGCTTGACCAACCCGACCAAATTAGAAATAAGGTTACAATTCTACCTTACTTTTAAGATTATTATGAAGACTTTAAGGGAATAATTTTTCCGGTACATAAATGTAAATATTCAATTTATTCATATTCAAGTGCACAATAACATCGTTCTTCACACACGATTCAATTACAGGTATCGAAATACATAAACTCTATTATGTACATAGAAGATGATCATTATTCGTTATGAACGTAAATCTTCATTTCGATTGAAATGACGATTTATTTCTTCTTGGAAAAGGTAACAAAAAGAGTCTGATCATGCAGTCTTGCAAACACTCCGTCTAGGGAGCATGTGTCGTCGATCGATATACGTTCGTTCAAACGAATAATGTTGAATAGGCCATCTTGTTTCTGTCCAGTAACTGTAAGAGTCCTTGTTGCTGCATTCAAGGTGATTTGTAGTTGATTCTTTGGAAACCCTAAACAAGATCGATGAAATATATTAATTTAACCACCTATATACACACACACACGTATATGTATGTTTATAATCTTAGTTGAATTTACCTGGAAGTTTCATGCTCAGTATTCGACTGTGTTCCTCTTCTGCCCATTTTGTATCGGGGGAAAACGGTTGATCTGAGCGAGTTACGTCTCCCCAATCTTGTTCCACGATCTGGCTCGACATCGAAAGAGCTTTCTAGCTTACGTTCGAAGATGTGAAAAAATTCGAGGAGAAGGGTAAAATGGTAATTTTATCTTTGAAAGTGCTTCTATCCACCACCAAAGAATGAGCTAGATGGCTATGGAATTGGGTGTTTGTACATGCAAGAGAAGAAGCATTTATATATGGCTCTTTCTATTTTAGCTATTTTTTAAAAGCTTATTCTTTTCACTTTGGCTTTGGCTTTGTTTTGAGGCTAAAGTGGAATATATATCAAGTAATGGGTGGGAAAACAAGGTATATCTTTAGATTGTTCCGATTGTATATCGATATTTTTAATAAGTTTGGCAAAAGGTCGGTATGCTTTTGTTTACCTTGTCGAATAAGAAAGCTCAACGCATGTAAGCCAGACGAGATGTAACGTTTCCAGTGGCAGATGGGTAAGTAACGTGAAGAACCTACTCTTGGGAGGGGAATAACAAATGGGAGATTAACGATTGAACAGTTGGCTTCTCGATTGAGAACATATGTCTAACCTGTTGAGTTACGTTTAAATTGCTGAAAATATAGGTATGCCCTATAAACGCTGTATGAGATTCCACATCGGTTTGAGAGGGGAACGAATCATTCCTTACAAGGGTGTGAAAACCTCGAGGGGAAGCCTAAATAGGAAAATTCGGTGGGCTGGACTGTTACAAATGGTATCAGAGCCAAACACTAGGCGGTGTGTCAGCGAGGACGTGGGTCCCCAAACCTAGAGAGGACATTACATTAGGCTTGATCTGTTACAAATGATATCATAGCCAAACATCAGGCGGTGTGGCAGTAAAGACGTGGGCCCCCCAAGAAAGTGGATTATGAGATCCCATGAACCTTGTAGTCCTTAAAAGGGTGTGGTGGAACCTCTCCCTAGTGAACCTTGAAGGGAAGCTCAGAGGGAAAAAGACAATATCTGCTGGTGATGGGTTTAACCTCTTAGACACCGGAACACAAATAATTTTGCTCGAGTTCGGTCCTATTATTTTTTAATTTGTTTTTATTATGGTTTTTTTTTTCTTTTCCAATTAATAAGAAAACCCTAAAACATTAAACCATTAATGTTTAAATTTGATATAAACAAATCAAGTTGAGGCCGGTCCAACTGAACCCATTTTTGCTCTAAACGACCCAAGCCCATCACCCAGGACAAACAAGCCCTAGCTTTCTTCCATAATCCCAAGGCCTAACTATTATTATTATAGTTTATATTGAATTTATGTATAAAGTGAATTATTAATTACTAAAATATTTATAATTAAAACATATAGTTCGTATCGAGTCGGTATTGATAAAAATGTTTGTAAGCATAGCTCAACGATAATTGATGCATATTTCTTTTTTTGAGGTCGGAAGTTTAGAACTCGTCAGTGATACGAGCGTATTTAGTTTAGAACGACAACTCTATCATCTCATCGTTGCACTCATTTCGGGTCCAAGGTAACCGACCGTTTGAACTTGTTTTTCATTCAACAGTAATTTTATTAATATCTGACAGCTAAATATGTAACATACTGGATAGATGACTCGCACCTACTCGACCATATTTTGATGAACATTGCAATTGGGTCGAAAATTTAAAATTTCTACATCATTTTTTTAATTAAAAAAATATTTTAACGTAATTAAACGATTGAAATTTGGTGTATTATAGGAATTTAATTGGAATATACCAATCATGAATATTTTGTTAAAATGTGAGTTTATTGACTTAAGTATTAATTAAAATGTGAGTTTATTGACTTAAATAGTAATTAAATTTGGGTTTATTGACTTAAATATTAATTAAACTTTGTGTTTATTGACTAAATGTCAAAACATACATAAAAACAACTGTTTTGCTCAGCTTACCAATTATAAGCATCACAGGCCAATTGGCCAATTAAATTACAAATATCATAAGTAAAATTCCAGTGGACGGTCAGGATTTGCCCGTCGTTCACGAAAAGAACAGCGGTGTCATTTTAGCATCCTAGGAGATATATAACGGCATAAATTATAATTAAAAAAAATAAGAAAAATAAGAAAAACACGATTTTTTTTCAAAATTTCTCACTCATCCTCTGTATCTCTCTCTCTCTCTGCGCGTGGTCTAATAAAAACCCTAATTTGCTGAATTCCCTACTTTTTTTTTCTCCCCCTTTCAACAATTTCCTCGGTATTCCGGCATTGAAGAGAAGACCTCAACTCTGTGTTGTTAATGGCGACAGAGCGTGAGGGGGTTCATTATGAAGGAGGAAGAGGTGGGAAGTTCCAGAAAAGGCCTCTCAGAAGGTCGCACACGACGCCGTATGATCGGCCGCCGATTGCTCTGAGAAACTCTAATGGAAAAGGATGGCTCTCTAAGCTTGTCGATCCGGCGCAGAAGCTCATCACCTCCAGTGCGCATAGGCTGTTTTCTAGCGTGTTTCGTAAACGCCTTCCCCCTCCGCCGCCGTCACTGCCAATTTCTCGAGGTTTTTCTTTTTGTTGTTTTTTATTTGCTTCTTAATTGCAAGGCTTTCTTACCGGTTGTTAGAATTGTTTTTGAGGTTTTCATACCGCATTCTTTCTGCTCATACGTTTGATTTTGGAGGCGTTGGCTGAAGATGGCATTTTTAAAAATAATTTTATTATTATTTTGATTTTTTCCCGCGGGAGTTCTTATAGTCTTGGGGTTTTTATTCTCTTTTCCTGGTGGAACCTGGATTTATTATTTTGTATGGTTTTAGGCGCGTTGAACTATTCTATCTCATTTAGAACTTCAATTATTTAAATGTCATTACTTTACGTGATTCCATGCTTATGAACTTGAAGTATGTCAAAGTGCAGGTTTCAACGCTTACTAGTCGAATTACATCGAGTCTGCTTGTAATGTTGTTTTGTTTTTGTTGCTTGGATGTCATATATGTTAAAAACATCAGGATAGTCTGAGTGTGATTCTTCCATAACATTTCTAAAATGATCCCCCATATAAAATTTAAGAGTTGGTTTCAAAAACTTCGTGAAAATTAATATTTTGTCCTTGTTTCATGTATTTAAGCTCGAAGGCAAGGTCAATGGCGTTATGTATGCATGCAGGCATGTATGTATGTATGTATTTACAGTTTTTCTCAACTATAGCCAATTAGAAGTCCATTTACCCTTTGGCTCCTTTTGTATTTTAACCAATGAATGAGATATTTTTGTTTCCCATAATAATGTTAATCTATGAACAACAATATCTTTAAAGTATGTTATACGAGGTAATAACCAATAATAATTGATCGCTGGTTGTTTAGAAGACAGCTTACAGATACACACGTAAACAGCAAAATTCTTTTTCTTTTCAGGTTGGTTGTTCTGTTTATTGTCATTCAAAATTATTTCGCTGAACAAAGATTCTGTACAAACACTTTTACTATTTTAAACTAAAAATTGTTTCTAGAAATTGCTCTTGCTCTTAAACATTTTAATCTCTCATATAATTTTTTTTTTCCACGGAAGTAACTTGCAAGATTTTGAATTATATCAATGTTGATAGCCATTTAGGAAGCATGATGCCATTATTTTATTATGCATTTTGGAGTTGATACCTTTGTGCGTGCATTGACTTTTGACTTGGGGTTGGTTGCTATAATGTGTTGGTAAATAATTGATACTCGGATGGGGCTGTGGCAGAAGTTTTTCATTTGATATTTAGGTTTCTGCTTCAATCTTTGACTGTCTGCCCTTGCATTTTATACTTCCAGAGGCTAATGATGAGATGGAAATTAAGAACCAGGAAGAAGTTGCAGCTGTAAGTTTTATCTGTTATGTGTTTTGCTTATCACCAACCTTTGCATCTGTATCTTGTATTTTTTTAATCCAATTCTGCTTTTGATCTAAAGCACGATACGTCATCACTGTGTTTTCCCCCTTCTATGTACATACTTGTTTGGCTTCAACATTTTCCTATTGCAGATATTGCAAGATTTTTTTTGTTATTTTTTCCTCTTTCTTTTGACCAATCTGGATTTCTTCTTTGTTTCTTTCAGATTTACAATAAAAGAGTCATTTTAAACTGTTCGTTTGAGAAAAAAATAAAAGACGTGATGACCTATGTTATTTTCATGAATGCATTAGTATCCTTATCAGTGAAGTGAAACTTCTTGCAAAAATCTGAGAAATTTGTGTTGCCGTAGTCTTAACTTCTTTGTCAACATTTTCTGAATTTTTAATTGTTCTTTAGGATCCTCCTGGAACTCAAGAAGGGACTAATAATGATTTTGTTCCAAGCATCAATTCTAATAACATACATGGGGTGAGTGACCTTGAGAAAATTTTGAAGGAGAAGACCTTTACAAGGTAAATATTTGAGTGCTTGGTGGTGAAATTACTTTTAGTTGCATTCCTCAGTTCTGTTAGAAGATTTGCCTGGTTTTTGTTGCTTTTCTTTTTCTTGTTAATATTTCATTGAGGGTCCTGTATGAAAATTTGAGTTTGCATAAATTGCGATTAGTTACATGGTAAGAAATCATGAAGCAGCTTGAAATGTATAAACCGCAATGTTGCTATAAAATACAATTTCATTTTTTTCCTTTGGGATAGAAGTCCGGTTTCATTTTCTATGTATTGATTTTAGCAAGATATGGTTTTGATGTTTAATATGTTACATGCTGACCATTTTACAGATTTGAGATTGATCGCTTGACTGAACTTCTGAAATCAAGAGTTGCTGATGTTCCAAGTGGGGTTGAATCGAGGAAATTTGAAATGGTTTCTTCAACACCTGTTATCAGTTATGACATACAGGAAGGGTCTCCAAAATTTCCAGCTCAAGAGGGAGTTAGGCCTCATATGGTTCCAACTCATGTCTTGAATGCAAATGTAGGAATCTTTGTATATATTGTCTGTGTGTTAGGTTTTTTCAGCGGTTAATGTTTAGTGCTTGTTTACCATTTGATTCTCACACTGATAACTGTACAAACTTTTGACCTTATTGTCACTTGTTTAATCATTTCAGGTTCCTGATGAGGATGTTGCTTCACCTGCAGAGATTGCAAAGGCGTTCATGGGTAGCAGGCCTCCAAAAGCAACTCCGTTGAGTATGGTGGCCCATAGTCAAAAGTTTGGGGATACTTTTGCTTTAGGCAATCCCTCAAAGTCCTCTACTTTATCTCTTGTGCCAAGGTCTCC